GAGGCTCAATATGACGCATAATTTTAATTATACTTCGGCAGCTCGTTCTATTTCGAGTTATTCATATTTAAACGAGACGATGACAAAAGATGATGCATTATGTCAAGATAATCAGACACTAGTAACACATTTTGTTGAATGTAATACCACAAGAACCCGATTCAGTTTTTAAACGTCGTATATACAGGTTACAGTGCCTTCCAAAAAAGTCCCCATCCCCTTCTTCTTTTCGTCAGTAAAATGGGGTTGATGAAATTATTTTCAGCCTTAAAGCGTAATGTTGATGGTAATGAAGCAACAATGACACAAATGAAACTAACACAGAAAAATCATTGAATATTAAGTAAAAATGTACATATTATTCGGATCCTGCTAGGACAAAAAAAGCCTTTACAAGAAAGTACGGCCCGGAATGCCTTCAACATTTTATCAGCGTATACTTCCTTGATAGCAAATTCTTTACAAATTTTTATTAAAACTCAATAAATCATTCTGGGTGTTGCTTTGTATATGTCACTTAGTATATTTTAGAATTATCTTCAATTTCCACCGATGGGAGGTGGAAACCTTGCCTTGGAATGTACGAGATGCGGTGTTGCCAAGCGATCCAATGCTACAATGTTACAGAATTTGTTGTGAGCCTGACTTTTGATATGGACCTAAAATGGAGTGCCTTTATATCAAACTTAAACAAATTCGACACAATTCACAATCCAAAAATGTATACGCTCAAAATAAAACCATTATTTGGGCGTAGAGAATAAACTAACGCAAATTTTCAATATGCATCTTAATTCAAAGGACTATTGTAACATATTGGGAACGCGGCAGATTACCGCATCAGCATTGCTAGGCAACGCTATGATGAGCTTCGCTGTCCAGCCAACTTCTACCTCTTTCTAACATATGTCTATGTGTCTATACAATCTTCCCTCTCGTACAAATTGAACTCGAGCTGTCAGACGAATTTGGTTCTCAGTGTATTCATGCATTAATTTTTTCGCACCTAATTTCAGCTTGTTAACTGGACCTATTCAAAAAGTAAGTCGGGAAGGCGTTTCTGGAAAGCGCTGTGTCATGAAGACTAGAGATAGGAGGCTAAGCTCATGAAATTGGAATGAAGACAAAAATGCGCAGAAAATGAATTTGCAAATTGCATCTCTCTAACTCTGTTGCTCTCATAATGACTGTAAAAGGTAAATTTAGCACTTAACAACATTTGAAGCCCCATAAGTTGAGTATTATAAAACATTTTTGACACAAAATCGACTACCCCAACTATCAAGATAGCAGGTATTCACAAACTATCAAAACTTTGTTTTGTTTTTTTTTGTAATCAAATACTCACTAATTATGAAAACCCATAATTACGTTATATCAATGTCGTTCTTTTGAAAGGGTCTGTCCGAATATGTGGGACATTCCATTAAAAAAATCAACTTCTATATGTGGGTCAAAATTGGGACACCTTATATAATTATGAATATTTTAGAAATATATATAATATAATAATCTATAAATAGTTTCTTCGAATAGTCTTTGTTTAGAAGCAATACTTCGTGCTCCCACAATTGGGACACCCTGTATAATCTGTAGCAAGACCTAGTGAACTTATAATTCAGTGGTGTCATAGAGGATAACTCAGATTAACAAATTTTTTACAGGTTCTCGTACTATAAAACGGGTAGCGACAGTGGTTGAACAAACTAAATTCCCCGAATCCTGTGTAAAAGCATCTCATGCATTTCGCTTCCGTATCATGGTGTCTAATCTGTTGGAAGACGTGATTTTACTTTAAACTTTCCAGCTTCTGATGCTTTACATAAACATGAGTATAACGGGTTAGAGGACGGGTTCAAATTCCAACATGGCTTTTGGCTATTATTCGGAACAGCAGGCTACGAATTGTTTAATATAGGTATATTATTTTATTCACCGCTTGATTTCGTCACTGCGGGATCCGTTACGTTAAACTTATGGCTGACAGCTGTTGTGATGACGTCAGCAACCGGTTTCATGGAATGGTGGTCAATAAAAAGACACATGTGGCAGTGGTAGTGACAATGGCAGTGACAGTGACAGTGACACTGACAGTGGCAGTGACAGGGACAGGGACAGGGACAGGGACAGTGACAGTGACAGTGACAGTGGCAGTGACAGTGACACTGACAGTGACAGTGACAGGGGCAGTGACAGGGGCAGTGACAGGGACAGTGACAGTGACAGTGACAGTGACAGTGGCAGTGACAGTGGCAGTGGCAGTGACAGTGGCAGTGACAGTGGCAGTGGCAGTAGCAGTGACAGTGACAGTGACAGAGGCAGTGACAGAGGCAGTGACAGGGACAGGGACAGAGATAGTGACAGTGACAGTGACAGAGGCAGTGGCAGAGGCAGTTACAGGGACAGGGACAGAGATAGTGACAGTGGCAGTGACAGTGACAGTGGCAGTGACAGTAACAGTGGCAGTGGCAGTGACAGTGACAGTGGCAGTGACATGGACAGGGACAGGGACAGGGACAGGGACATGGACAGTTACAGTTACAGTGACAGTGACAATGACAGTGACAGTGACAGTGACAGTGACAGTGACAGTGACAGTGACAGTGACAGTGACAGTGACAGTGACAGTGACGGTAGCAGGGACAGGGACAGGGACATCGACAGAAAAAGAGATAAAACATCTGCGAAAAACTACCGTCCTATCAGTTTTGTGCCTATAGCTGCGAAAATAGCCGAAACGATCGTCCAAGAACAACTTATGACATTTGCATTCAAGAACAACCTGCTGCCTAGCAACCAACATGGTTTTATTCGTGGTAGATCAATTATCACCCACATGTTACACTGCGTAGACAATTGGACCAGACGCAAATGAACCGGTCGACGTGGTTTATCTGGATTTTTCCAGAGCTTTCGATCGAGTTCCGCATAAAAGGCTCCTGCACAAGCTTGAACATCTCGGAATCAGAGGAAATTTGTTGCTATGGAAGCTTTTTTGTTAGATAGATCTTTCTCCGTCCGTGTTGGAGACGTCTATCCTTCCAGCCATCGTGTTACTAGTGGATCTGTGCTAGGGCTAATACTTTTTCTTCTTTATACAAGCGTCCTTCCCACCCGACTTTCTTCTATGTGTTCCATCTATGCAGATGATTCTAAAGTCTATAACACTGCCATGAACTCATCTGTGCTTCAAGAAGACCTCAAGCTGATCAGGACTTTGGCTCCTACCTTTAAATCTCTCGAAATGCTACGTTCTTCACCTGGGAAAGAATTATCCTAACTTAACATATAAGATTGGCAAACATACCCTAGAGACTGTTTCTTTACGCAGACCTTCGTCTGACAGTTAATGACCGGCTCACCTGGTCGAAGCACATTCAGAACATAACCTCTAGGCAAAGCGGTTGCTATATGTGATGGAAATATCATTTAGCGGTTGCACCATTATTACCTCCTCCTTCTTGTACACAACTTTCATATGACCCCTACTGGAGTTTGCTGCTCCGGTATGGGATTCAAACCTTGTTCGCTATAGCAGCTTATTAGAGGCCGTTCAGCGTCGTGCTACAGGTATGCCTTATGGCACACGTAAGCCGAGTTATGAAGACCGCTTCGAGTTATATAACCTGCCTGCTTTTGCGAGGAGATCTCATCATTACTTTCAGAGCACTGCATAATTTGTTTGGTGTGGACATGTCGCATCTGTTTCGTCTGGCAACGAACAATCTCGGAGGCCATAACTTCAAATTGCAGAAGGAAGCTTTTAGAACCTCTACTCGTCAGTGCTTTATCTCAAACCGTGTCTCCGATGCATGGAACAGTCTTCCATCTTATGTAGTGAACTCGGCATCCGTCAACAGTTTCAAAAACAATTATGATAAAGACCGCAGTGCTTAACATATTGTTCCCATTCTGTATATGTCTACTTCAGAAGTGCTAAGTTTGTCAAATTGTTGTATTTCTTTTGTCTGTACACTATTATATATTATGTGTTTGAGTTTATAGTACTTGTACTCAACTCAAATTTGTTGTTTAATAATAATAATAATAATAATAATTTTAATCCGTGGTAGTTAACACCATTTCTAGTTTTGGAAAGGCGATGACGATTTGGACACAAATTAATTCCAAGTCTCACTTTTGTTTTACTGCGCATGCTTAAATGTCAAATACGGCCAGAAATTATTAGTGCCTGGCTATATTGGGTGTTCAATAACTCCCTAATATCTCAATTTAGAAATTTCCTGCGAACAATACTTCCTCGTCAGTCTTAGCATAGGAAGTAAAAACAAAACGCCGTCAAACGTCGTTTATAATGTTTTTCAGGTTCCTGGAAATATTTTATAATTCAGTTCATTGTTTTCAGTTTTGGCTTATTTCTAAGTTCAAGATTCTTACTTTGACTCTAATAGTTCGTTACAGAGTACATTTCGAAACTATGATATCCAGCCTAGCAGTGCTGTTAAGCGATACCTTTTCTTAATGTACGCAGTGACTGCAGCATTTTTTATTAATATTTATAAACCAGGAGCTTTCTAAGTTGATGGTGGAACCCTTTTATGCCTTGTCATTGATTAAATACCTCGATTATATCAGGTATTACAGAACAGAAATAAAATAAATCTCGTTTCACTTTGTAATAAACTATCTGGTAGGTTATATAGGATCGTTAGTGTTTGCGGGTGACCCTTCATCTATTGTGTGAATAGGTTTTATGAGTCACATCACAATAGTAACTGATGATATCCTAAATAAATTGGAGTTTATACTGAGTGTGTGTACTGAAGGTAAAGGTATTCAATTTAATTACGAGAGATGGAATGTCTTTTAAGTTTTGCATATGGAAATAAAACAACACGGTAGGTAGTTTCGAATAACTTTATTGTTTTTCGAAGTATTCTGCACGAAGATTAATACTCATCTGCATGCGCTCGAACCAATTTTCGAAGCACTTATTCCACTCGTTTGCTGACAGATCAAAAACGGCATTTTTGAATGCGTCAACTGCTTCTTCTGGTGACTGGAACCTTTGAGTCTGTTTTTGATTTTCGGGAAAGTAAAGAAATCGTGAGGACTTAGATCGGAACTATACGGAGGATGGTCCAAGAATTCCACGAGCTAGGACGGGAGCTTGCGACGATGAGTTTTCAAAAAAACTCAAAATACTTTTTTTCAGACAGACCTAACAAAATTTTTATTAAGAAGAATTACAGAGTTGATTGTAGCAAAAGCAAAGTGGATCTGAATAACAATGCAAGTGTGTCTGTTAAATAAGAATGGAAAAAGCTGATGCAGCGTCTTCTTTCTTCGAACCTATGCATTTCCAGTGGCGAACTCTCCCCTCCTTAAACAACGACTTCGGGCTGGAACAGCACTGAAGGCGGGTTATCTTGAATTTTGGCAACTTGTTGAGGCTTCCTGTGTTTCTTTAATTTCTTCTTCAAAAACTTGATTGAAGTAAGGACGGCGACAACGGATAATATTACTGCGATCGTTGAACATAGCGACCAATTGGATTGATCAATCGGTTTCACGTCTTCGATCACCAATTGATTTGTAGTCTGCATGTGTTTTTGGATATCGTGCTTATCTTCTAATGGACTTTTTCCGAATTTCAGTGGTCTTAGTTTTAGGTTGGCTAATTCCACTGATAAATTTTTAGCTATGGGAGGTAATACTAAGGGCTTTCCAATGGCCTTTTGCTGTCTATTTCCAAAACGGTAGTCTTGATATTCTGTATTGCAGTTTACAGGAACTTCTACTAAAGTGCTGCCTAGGATAGTGAAATACTCTTCATCTGGACATTTTGATTTCAAAGTAATTTTTTCTTCAGTAATGATAATGGTTAAATATTTTCTGCGGGTTCCACTGGTACTAACTGGCATTGTGACTGTTTTCCTAAGATCAGACTTGAGACACAGTCTTCACCAGGATTATACTTAATTTCTTTTTGTTGACATATATATATATATTGAGTTGAGTCATTAATTTTCAGATAATGATTGTAGAAGGAAGATAAACCAAAATATGTGTGTAAAAATAAAAAAAAAAATAAAAAAAAAATTTACCTTGTTTTATAAAGTATCCTCCCGACAAGTATTTCAGTGCGGACCTGTATTTCATCGTGAGGTCTTCGAGCACCGGCATGCCCTCCCCTGTGAAGTCTTAAGTCACCTGATTCACGAGCCCGTTGTACTACATTAACAAAGGCACGAGGGGTTGATTGCACTCGATTGGGAAACCGATCCGCATAAACATGTGCCATTTTTTATTTCGTTTGAGCCACGCAGCAAACCCCACTATTCACTCACGCGTTACCGACTGACACATTGACTGAATAAAAACTTCGTGATCAGCGTTTCAAATTCTTTCGCTTTTTTGTTTCCGATGCGATGAACCGATAAGGCGGATTATATCCGTTGTTGCCAAACACGAGCACATAATATTATTATTGAGACAGGGCGGTACTCAAACTTCTAAAGGGCTATAACTTTGTTACTTTAATTTTACCACAAAAATGTTAAAGGAAAAACATTTCTTTTGATCAGATCTACTCACTGTTAAAATAGATGACTCAACTTCGAATTCACCCTGTATATAAGTTTTCTAATTGGGCACAGGGATGTCCCATGTATTGATAACTTCTGTCTTCTAGAGCCAAATAAGGTTTTTGTGGTATAATTAAGGTATGTTCATTCGTAGGAATTGGAAATAACTGGAAATGTTGGAGGACTGATGGGTAAATAATCGGTATTTCAATGGAAAATATAATCTTAGTGTCATGAAAATAACATTTAAGATTAATTATTGAATACCAAGATTGTAAATCAATTTTTAAAATTTCGTTAGGCATATAATAATTTCTTATCTCTTCAAAAATTTGTAATAGATCCTTACTTGTCAAAATATCTGGGTGAACTATGTTTAATTGAGCAAATGTGACTGCATTTTCCAAATTATCTAGGAAGGTAATAATAACATTAGCGCCAATAAAAATCTGATCCAAGATACTTACTAAAATTGTATATGCATGCGTTTGGCCATCTATGTTTTGAATGTATGCTTTACAATCCTCAATATATTCAAAAATTTTCCTTTGGTTTTCACTGATTGTATCAATGGTTCTTGAATATTTTTCAACAAGACTTTTAGCCATGGAAATTTGACAGTTTATTTCCTTAATGATTTTCTCGTGGATGTCTTTTAAGTTTTGCATATAGAAACATAGTAGGCCGCGCGGATTGAACGTCAGTACTGAATCTTAACATTCCAATACATGGTGTAATAGACGTATTATTTCGATTCATGCAAAAATATTAAACATACGACAGAATATTGACGTTAAAAAAGCAAGACAAAACAGTTTTAAAGCTTCTTCAGTTTATTATCACCTTCAGAGCTTTAGTAAGATGTTTTTCTTGAAAATCCGACTCAAAATGCAGTTATACTCAATGATGATCCGCCTTCATAATTCGGAAAGCACCGCTACAAATTTGTTTTTTTTTTTGACATCGATAGACACTTTTTTCGAAAAGATAATATTTTGGAAAAATCCTAACTTTTATTTTTCGTCGTTTTTCAAAAATCTGATCATTATACTTTAGTAAAAAAGTAGGGGTTAAAAATGTGTGCTTCCAATATTAAATAGAATTAATTAAAACGTGGGAAGTACTGCCTCTATTTAATATTATGATTGCAAAAATTTTCGAAAATGAGATATGTTTGTTGGATGTTATATGACAGGTACATCACGAAAAACCATGTCACTCATTTCTGTCAGTCTGTCTGTCTGTGTGTCGGTCTGTCCGTTGATCTTGTAACTGCCGCGTATAACTTGACGCGGACTTTGATGAAATTTTTACACAATGCCTAGGACGCAAAAGCTTTGCAGTTTTTGCATGTGCAGGCAGAATCAGAGACAAAAAACAAAAAAAAGAAATCGCTTGTTTTTCAATTTTTTGACGTTGCTATATTTATACGCCTCCAACCCCAATAATTCTACCTCACATATTAAGCATATTTCACTGATCATAGATATCCCCGTATATTTAAACTTGAAACTTATATCTCCTACAGTTGGGTGTCGGTATCTATGACGTGGTCCCCCAATGGACAAGCGTCGGCGTCAGTGGTCGTACGTCACAGTCGGCAACTGCTGTGGGCTGTGTGCACTGTGCGTGGTTGAAGCCAATACCGTCATTCAAGCGGGATTGGTCATGGGGAGGAGAAAGATTATTTAGTTTTTTGTTTTCGCAGAAAACATTATCCTTTACGAACTGATGCCAGCGTAGCTTGGGAAGTACAGATTCAACTTACTTGACTCCAGTTTTTTTTATAATAATCTGTAGGTGTGACATCAAAATGCCATAATAAGATAATAAGCAGGTTTGGTGTGAGAAATGTCACAGGCACCCACACTGACACTCCTCTTAGATTCGCATAAGAATTAGTGGACGATGAACGATTAGAAAATTCGCTTAATCTTGCAATATCTGATTTTTCTCACTAGTTACATAGAAAGGCCATTAAATACTTGTTTCGAGTTCTGTCGTGTCAAGTGTCGTTCAGCTATTATAACTGTTACGGCACCTTCTAATTTCAAATTCACATGGAACTTTCAGTTCATTTAGATTAGAACATCGATTAGCCTATACCAGCTTAAGGACCCACCTATCCTTACAGTCTGCCTGAAGAGGCTTTTCCCAGTTCTAATAGTAAAGGCGGAACAAAAATCGGATAAACAAACTTTGTTTAGCCCTAGAAGGATAATCATATAATAACTAGCGCAAAAGATATTCATACGTCCAGGAGACGTATGTATACTAAGTGACATATAAATCCGAACACCCAGTTTAAATGGCAAAAAATATAACTTAATAGCGGAACAGCAATATGGTTTTCAAGAAGGCAAATCTGCTCAAGATGCTATTGTAAAATTAACAAATATAATATACACGAATCTCGATATTGGCAAACCAACTGCATGTGTTTTTGTTGACTTGGCAAAGACATTCGACCCTATTACTCATGAATCGCTTTTAACAACTTTAGAAAACTTAGGTTTCCGGGGAATAACATACAAACTTATAGAAAATTATTTGTTAAATCGAACACAGTGCCTCAAAATTAATAACACATTCAGTGAACCCCATATTAGATCATACGGTGTACCTCAAGGCTCAGTATTAAGACCCATTTTATTTAATCTATTTATCAACGATTTGTTCAAAACAAGTAGTACAGGTAAAGTTAAAGTTCATACAAGCAGTGGTCTCAAAGAGATTCAGTCAGCCGATAAAATAAAATACTTAGGCGTGATTTTGGACAAACACTTAAAATGGGATACCCATACAGAGTACCTTGTGAAGAGACTGAGATGTATTATTCCAAAATTCAGGTACTTCAGAGATATTCTAGATAAGAAATATCTATATAATTTTTATTATGCTCTTGTTTATCCTCTATTACTTTACGGAATTTTGGCTTGGGGGGAGTTATGAATAATGATTACAAAAAGGTTGAAGTAATCCAAAGTTTACTCTAAAATTGATCCTCCATATGGAGATTACTTGTTCAAGTGATTTTCTGTATGTGGAGGCTCAGCTATTAGATTGCAGACCAATTTATTTTTATTGTGGTCTAATACATTATTTCAAATATTCGAAATACTTGAATCGTACCATTCATAACTACCCAACAAGATTCAATCAAAATTCAATGTGTTTTCCACAAACATCAAAAACCGTTACACAACGATCTCTGTTTTTACAACAACCAAGGTACTCCATCCACGATATTGTATCTGAAAAATCATTATCAAAATCGATATTTGACTTACACTAACATCCATACTTTTACTTTAGTCATAATTGTCTGGATATTTTTCCTGACATTACCATAATAATTCACCAAATTATACAGTATTAACGGTTTTTTTTTCATACACTGACTGTACTATTACTTTTTATTTTTAACAAACCCAAACACAAGTGCAAACTTTTTTTGGGTGCTTT